ATGACCCCATTCATTCCATTCGATTTTGTGTCTGCCCAAGAACAAGAATGGCTCAGTTTCATCACCCGTTGCAAACGTACCTCTTGCTTTCTAGGCTCGCAACTGGCCGGGCCGGGCTCCAGCGACGCTAGTCCAAAGAGGCCATAGCTCTAGCCCGAGATCCTGCCTGTCAGGGCCGAATTGTGGGCAAAACAAATGAAGAAAAAGGGCACGGTTTTTATAGAGCCTAGGCTCTAAAGAATCAAATTAGAACCTACCTTCAAATCGTGTTGTGAAATGTGGATTCAATGCTGGAAATCTTTGTGATAGTGTTAAAATATATTTCCATCTTTATTTATAAAATTTAAAGGTTAAAAAATAATGTAGATCGACAGATTTATGAAAACTTGAAAAACTTGAAAATTGACAGTCCAAAAATGCGTTACAAAATACACTATTTTCAAAACATGAAATCTATTTTTCTCATGTCCATACATCTTGATGTCGAGATGATTAATTTGAGGATATTTGAGCATCAAAACAACCTCTTTTAGTACGGTTTTTGAGATAGGCTCTAATTTGATTGTTTAGAGCCTCGGCACTATACAAACTTATCCCCAAAGGAAATAAAGATAAAAAAAGAGGGCCGAGTTGAGGTGGCTCTATAGTGGTCCTGGGCCAGTCTGGTCCGCCCTCAGGCCACAATTTCTAGCCCAGGGTCTAATTTTTTAAGTCTGGGCTCAGCGGGGGCAAGGAAGATTTGCGAGGCCCAAAAAGTCTTTACTGAAAATTTTGTCATTTCAAATAAATGTAAAGGCTATTTCACTACGTAAAGTCACCTCACTACCCAGAGAGCCTTCCGCTTGCTTTTGCTTTTGCTCTCGCTCTCTCTAAAATCACACCACTACCCTGTCTCCTCTCTCTCTCTCTCTCGCTTCCTGAACTTCCTATATCTGGTCTCTCGATTTCTCTCGTCTTTACTCTCTCTCTAGGATTTATATGAATGCCGACCTGGTTCGCCGATGATTTCCATGAGTCTCTCTCTCTCTAGAGTTACCTCGTGATCTTAAAGATTCTCTCTCTATTCGGTTTAGATGAAGTTCTCTGCAGATGGCAATACGGGGAGTTGATTTCAAATGGTAACATTTTTAACTCTCTACTTTCCCCCCCAGTAAAACCAGTTTCACTGTTAAGCAGTGATCGTTCTTTTCTTTTGGCAATTCTAGTGAGCTACTTGAATATTTCGTAACCTCGTAAAATCGTATTAATGGCGCTATGATGAGAGAATATTTTCGATCTTGTTTACCCTTTACACACTTTGATTTTCCATTGTTTAATCTGAAAATTGCAGGTATGATGGGTTCTTCTTGTCCATGCTTGCAACGAGTGCGTATCCGTCGTCTACTAAAAGAAGAATTGCTATTTAGGGTTTTTGGAGACCTATGTCTTTTGATGCAAATGCTTGTTGTTCTTTGCCCCGGCAGGGGGGGGCGTCTCTCCAACTTGTTTTTATTTCTTTATTTTCACCTTGATTGTTAATATGATATTCGTTAAAGAATCATCATAATACACCAAGGGGGTCCCTGAAAACACTTTTTCTGTTTTTTGTGGGAGAGTAGTTTTTGATGCCTCTGCATGTTGTCTCGGAAGCTACCAGTGGATTTATACTGTTAGATTAAATTTACATTGTTTGAGAAAACATTGCAATATGACAATCTGTGGTAAAACTTCCATTTAATATTTACAATATGTTAAATTGATATTTTTATAAAAAATATTTATGATGTTAGATTAAATTTACATTTTTATCAATCATAAATGAAATATTCATTATTTTTTGTTATGTTGTGAATCTGATATACAATCTTAGCTGTTACTAGCTAACCTACAAAGAATTTAAATGGTGTCATCCTAAGCTAACTATGACTATCTACTATATGAGATTTCTTTTCTAATCTTTTCCTTTCTTTTTTTATTTGAGCTCTGTACATTGTCATCGGAGTTATTTGGTTAGCTTTATTTGCATACAATTTTTAGTCTTTCATGTTCTTTAATTCTAATTCATGAATGAAATGCAATAATGCGACCAGGGAGAGTTTTGCTCAAAGCCTAAAAATTTAAAGATTAATAAACCGTCCTTGTTGACAAAGACCCACTAGCCAATGGAAGTCGTGTCAAAAAGAAAAAGAATTAATTATCATATTTTCAAAAAAATTAAGATTTTTCTTCCTGTCAAGTGAGCTTTTCTGATTTTAAGTTATCATATGCTTCTACATTATATTTTAAACGTTTAGTGTGTTCTTTAACATCTTGACTGTCAGAATCATCGTGTCAATCAACTGGAAGCGATACCATCTCTGTACATATCCACTGCACATATGGATTGTGGTAAATCTCAAAGCCTTGGTGACTTCCTTTTGTTAATTCTTCTATGCTATTTAGGAACCAAGAAAAGTAAAATTTCTATGCTACTATTTATTAGATACGCATTTGAATCTTACTGAGCAGATTCTCTTATATGGGATGGCAGCATTCACTCCTGCCCCAATATTAGATGTGTCCTAGTCCTAAGTATTAGATGAGTGGAAATATATAGCAATCAGTTTTTTTCTCAATGGAGACATACTATGTATTTATTCAAAGAAAACATGTCAAGTAACCAAGTATTAAAATTTGCCTCTGAAATGTGTCAGACCATGATGGATTGTCTCTCTTCCTTTTCAGGTTGACTACACAACGGTTTTTATATTCCGGGTGTTGATGTTTGTAGACAATGGGCTGGCTGCTGAAATGGGTTTGTAAGTAATACTATTTATATTGTGGTGTTTGTAGATTTGTGTATTCCTTTTGTTATCAATCATGCATAAAAAAGTTCTGTTAGGCTTCATCTGTTTACATGTTGTAATGAACTGTAACTGCATTTTGATTTGTAATTTTTGATGCAATTTCTTTTTTTTTAACAAAAACTAAGGGAATGCTTTTTATGCTTAAATATGTTTCAATCTACAGGGTGGATGGCTTTTTGTGATTATGTAATGCCATGATTCTATTTGTTTCCCTTGGAATCTGCAACCTTTTTCTAATGGTATTATTAGCAATAAAAAGAAGAGCCAAAGGAACTTTCTTATCTTTGCTTCTTCCTATGCCATTGCCCATAAGCCCTTGAAAATGTCATCATTTAATTCATTCCAGACGTTTTATATTTCAGGAAAAGTAAGATTCCCTTAAAAGGTGGCTCTTATACTTGGCCTAGGAAACCGTGTCCCCCTTCCAACCTCAAGAAATCCAATCTATATTTAAAATCAAAACAACATATTAGATTTAAATAAGGCAGAAGGAAATAATCCATGCCACTACTAGATAAGTGCAATGGAATATGCACATTGCACATGGGGAAGCTTCCTCAAGTTCACATTCATGAGAATCTTGTTAATATTTTTTAAATGAAAATGTTTTATGTTGTGGAGATGCTATGTGCTTCTAACCTTTGCTTATGGATGCATCCTTGAAATTACGAGTAATAGCGGAAATAATGGACTACGGTGAAAACAACCAACAACAAAAGTAGTGTGTCATTCCTTAGGGTGATTGTCATCTTGGCTTAAGTTGATGCAATTGTGGGAAAGGATGTTCTCAAACCACCAATATTTTCCTATAGAACCTTGGCATAATCATTTTAGCGTCCCCCTGGAAAGGTCTTAAGTAACTTAAATACTTAAAATAAATCACTTCAATCTTCTCAAATGCTGGTTTTACCCTTTCCTCTTCAAGTCGTTCACATATTTGTGACAGTGTTTTAAAATGCAGGATATGGTCCTGATGCGGTTGGGGTCCGATGCGGCGATGTAGCTTGATGCGACTGCATCACCTCTAATGCGGTCAACAAATTTTTAAAAAATTGAAAAAAAAGAAAAGAAAATAAAACGTAGAAAAACCGTAAATGTGATTTTTGCGAGAGTAGATATTTCCATTTATTCAACATATTAGTTGTCTGAGACTTTGAGTCCCTTGAGAATAGTAGAGTTTGTTGTTCTAACTTCTAATCTTTAATAGTTCAAATGTCTGACACATTTAACATGTAAAAGAAAGCAATCCATTCCATCTCATATAAAATATCTAAAATTCTAAACTTTAAGAGAAAAAGATAGTTAGGACGAAAAGTTTGACATATAATAGAAAAAGATACTCAACTGTCAACTCTGAATCAGACAAGTCATCGAATGCTTAAATGTCTTCTATCATTTCCCTTTGTCTTCTTTTTCTTGGCTATCAATGCATGCCCTAATCTCTCTTCCAATCTCATCGGTTGGTTGTGGGCATGCTTTAGCATTCTCGGCAATACTGGCTAGGTGTTCCTTTTGTTGGAAAATATCCCCCTGTATAAGTATTCCTCACAGATTACAAATAGCACAATTTCAACCCTTAGGATTTTTGAGTTTAGCATATTTCTTGGGATTCTTGTTACTAAGATGATGAAGATATTGCCCCCCCCCTCCCCCCCCCCCTCTTGCAAAAAAAAAGAAAGGTATTAGGAAATGAAAACTCACCAAGCAACCCAATTTTTGCCTGGCCAACTTTTGGTTGTCATAGGCGATTTTTGACTGTGCATAGGCCTTTTCCTGGCCCTGGGTGGCACCCATTTTTGTGAGGGTCGCCACACCAACCTCATGTACTTTTCTTTTTTAATGACAGGTATCAAAAAAAAAAAACGAAGAAAACTCACCAAGCAACCCATAGAAATTTCGATGTGGGGATGCGGGCAATGCGACCTCATGTGCGAGTGATGCGCTGCTTATGCGGGCACATCACATTTTTCCGCATATGTGGTCTGGAGCAATGCGCTCCAAGCCACATAACGCTATATGCGACTGCATCTTAAAGCAATGATTTGAACTACATCATACTCCTAGGAAGAAGAAATCTTATAAATTTGGACAAATCTCTCATGGTAGTAGAGCATTGATCTTCTGAAGTAGCCAACGGATCAAAAAACATAGAGCATTGTTTTCAAGAGCCGGAATGCTACCCCATTTTGTGGTGGTTATAACTGAGTCTAGAACCATTGGCAGTTGTTTAGGAAGTTGTTGTTCTTTCTTTAACTAGATGACATGGGTGCCATGTATTGGCTGGGATCCAATATGTTGAAGCTAAATTACTGGTCTTTTTTGGGATTAAAATTTTGACATGTCCTGATGATTTGCAGCACATTTGTTTTGTCACTGTAGTGTAGGAGGATAGTCTTCAGATGTTAGCTTCAGTGCTATGGTGGAGATGCTTTCTTCTAATGGTCAGTTTGAGTGAACAAACACACACATATGAAGAAACAAAAAGAATCCTGTAGCATTTTCCCTGCCGTAGTTCTCTTATACACTTAAGCACCCTATCTTTGTCAGACAATTGAAAATGTAAATATTTTGTATTTAAATTTTAATAATTCTCTATAAATTGTATTGCACAGACATTCGGGGCGTCTACATTTCTATCCAGGGCGCACATTTTAAAAATATGTACAAAAAAAAAGTATTTACAAATTTTAAACAGGTGCACCCTTGTTAGAAGGGTGGATGCCCCAGATTTCAACACTTATGGATTTATTAAAAAAGGAAAAAATAACTCAGTAAACGGCGCTTCAATTTTCTGATCAAGATGGCTGATTAATAGCATTGCACTATAGGAAAACTTCTGTAGCGTTTTGTAGTCCACAAGCACACACATATATTGGTCGTTTGTAAAAGTTTATGTATAAAAAATGATGTGCAGGTATATGTCTCCTCTCTATCACATCTCTCCTGTAAGTCTGTGGGTACTGTCTTCACTCCTTGACAAAATTGATTCTATGTACAGCAGAATCTACACACAGGTTTCAAAACAGAGTGACGACAAAATAAGGTTTAGATACTCTTGTCTCTTACTAAGCTAATAGTTTCCTCCTTAGCCTCTGTCCAAGCAATGGCTGAATTTTACCTGAAGCTTTCTAAGACAATCCCATATTCCTTTAAACATATTATGTAGCTGCCATGTGCACTTTGCCTTGCTGCTGACCAATCAAAGCATTGCTGCAATTTCCCTCAACAATCTCCTTATCCCATCTTGTGTCCATGCATCTCAGACTACAGAGCAAGGACATAGCTTCCGCTTCTTTCAAGCCACAGAATTGGAGAGGCCCTGAGTAGGATAATGAGATCTTTCCTTATTAGTCCCTCACTTACCACACACCCCCCCTCCTCTCCCCCTCTTTGGGATTGCTGCTGGAACTGCCCTTCAACTTCACCATTCCATCCCTTCAACTTCACCATTCCATCTGGGCATGGACGCCATTTGCTGAACCTCTTTTTTTTTGCCGTTTTAGAGCATACAACTGTATTTCAAAGTCTATAATGCTGTACCCCCAAAATTCTCATCTAACCCTGGCCTGTGAAGCCACTGTTGTTTGGATGTTCCTTCACACAATTCAATCCTCTACTCTTGTCATCAATCAAAGGATCAACAATTCTTATCAAACCAAGTGAGCCAAATGATGGCCAATAGAGATAAACTGCTCAGGATTTGACCTTTCTTTTGCCATGAAGGGAAATACTATTATGATAAAGAGCTTCAATAAAGGCCGTTATCACCCAATATTTTACTGAAACACTTATGCATCTCCATAATATGACTCCAATGGATAAAATGAACCAGAGAAACCAACACATATGGGTCAAATTTATCTTTAAATTTCATATAATGGAAACAAAAGGGTTTTTACATGTAACTACTCTTCATGAGGAGTTCCGAGAACTTCCAATTCCATTCACAGTTTGCATTAAACCGCTATATGGGGGCCGAACACCCTTGATTCGGGCCTTGAAGTTTACACACACAGATCTAAAAGGAAAATATACAGAGCATAGAAGATATCAACACCATGGGGCATATAAAGCCCGTATACTTGACTATATGTATGGGTATGGTCCAGGAATCTACTTCTTCTTGAACTGGGACTTCAAGTGAGTGGGATCAGCGGCGTTTCTTTTCTCTCTGTTAAGCTTCCTTGCACGCAGCAGAAAGGTAGCGGCGTTTCTTTTCTCTCTGTTAAGCTTCCTTGCACGCAGCAGAAAGGTAGCGCAATGATGGGCTTATCTCCTTTACTGAATGCAAGCGACTGGGTAGAAAATGGTTGTCATTCTCTTCTCTCACTTTCCTCTATCACACACCAGAAATGATAAGTACTGGAGAATGTGAGTTCTCAGGATTCCCCCCTCTCACTGAAGAGTACGTCTAAATAGCTCTCTAGACGTGGTAAGGATGAAAAACCTATAAAGCTTATCAGATTTTTGACACTCAAAACCATCAAGATTGACGCAATATTGCATGAGAAAATCGAAGAGTAATAGTTATCTGTGACATGTTGTCGGTTAAGCTGCAGAGCAGTTTTGATGTGTTCGAGTATTTTCAATGCCGCTTTCTACTGATGAATCCTTTGATCCTGAAATTTTACGGGGTGATAGAGAACTTAAGGATGAAAACCATGGTCCAAACCTCACTTCAAATGGATCACGAATTAGGAAAATATGGTTTGTCAATGATGACCCATTTCTGCTGCATATTGCGACAACAGATCCGAGGGTTGCAGCCCCAACCGCTCTCACCGTTGGGAATCATTGACCTTGACGATTTGATAGTCTTGTAGAGGGGCTTAAGATCTCCATATATTGGGAGATATAAATCAATGGCGGTCAAACGTCTGCACAGTTTTTATGGTTGCTGTTGGGAAGCTTGCCACTTACATGAGAGATCCATAGGATGCCACCATTATATGGTTGATAAGGCATTGAGTCTAGAATCTAATGGTCCAAGTCCCATGAGAAAACTCTTATGGATAGCTTGTGAGAAATCTCAAATTTAGTGACTGGAGGTCATCCTAGCTATCTGCCTGGCAGACGACCCATAGGGGGTCTGGCTGCTGATTGATATGGATTAGAGATATAATGCATCGAATATGATTTCCCAATAGTTTTTGGATCAATCCCCAAAATATCGTATTAGGGTCATCAGTCAAGGCATATCTTAGCTGCCGATGAATTCTTGATGATGAGTTGTATGACGTTCAATTTGTATGATTCTTGGATCAGAGGCATGTGAGGCCTCATTGAGTGTACTTGCGAGATTATTCCTCGTTTGGATATAATTTGATGTGGTTTTCTCAAAGTCCGGCTGTCAAACCCCTCTCTGACAGACAAAGGATTCAAAGACATTGCACCATATCCAAACTACTACAATATCGCATGAAAAAGGCATATAGGGGCGTTGGGAAAATAAGTCCTAGTGTTGGTCTCGAAATTGAGATGGCTTGATAGTCGTTGATAACCGGTTGGGAGTCAAGATATAGGCTGACCGGTGGTCAGGACTTTTGAGGCATATAGGGGCCTATGTATGACAAGTTCCGCCTTCATCATACCCCATTAACACACTTGGAGTATATTTCACAAATCAATTCCCAAGAGTCATGTTTATTGGTTTTATGCAATTACCCATTGTCCACCGAGCATATAGGCTTGGTGTCCGCTCAATACTGATCTTTTACGATAACCCTTCGGATTTGTGTATGGATTGCTTAAAGTGTTTATGCATTGTGTTGCAACTAAAAATACACCCAACACTGTGTTAACCAGCTTGTGATATGGAGCACGTGGATGAGCAATAGCCTCATCCTGGATACATGTTCCCGCCTCCATGAAATTCAATTCAAATTCATCTGAATTTGAAACTGAATTTAGATCTCCCCAACTTGAAGTATTATTTTGTGGAACTTGGGACATTTTGGGGCCTGGCTGCCCCAATATTTCTTTGCTGACCTGTAATTTTATCCACTCAAATCCTCTTTCTGTTTGCCACGTCTCACCATTCAGCGTCAGCTCATCTGTTATTCCACAATCCAATCTCTATCCTTGCCCCTGTCCTGCTTATAATCCTCAATTTGATCATAGGTTTACCCTTTCTGGTTCATCCCATGAGCTGTAGTACCGCTTGTTACTCCTGCAGGGACCATTCTCCTCTCCTGTTCCTCAACCATAATCTCCAACCTTAAACTCCATCTGGTCCACCACAAGGTTCACATGACTTGGAACAGGTTCCGCTCATATATTTGGATATATTTGGATATATTTGGATATATTTTGTCAATGGATTGAATATATCTTGATGTTGCTTTATATATCTCTGCTTGTGTTGTAGCTGTACTTGCACTTGTTTCTTGGTTAATGCTTTTATGTACATGGAATGGTTCCTTACATATTTTACATGCTTCCAGGGATTTAGGATGGCAGCAACGATATGGTCCATTTTGTGGACGGATTGTGGTGATTTCAGTTCTTTCTCTTCTTCTCTATCCCTTTTTATGGGCATGGACTGTGATTGGTACTCTATGGTTCACGAGTGCAAAAAGTTGTGTAAGTTTTACACACAAGTTCTTTGATGTGCTACTTCTGAGATTTTTTTCTGCTACAGAATTGTTTTAAGAAATTTTTTTTCCACACATTGCTTTTTTTAAGGAGTATGTTATGTATCAATTTTACGTGCGCAGCTGCCAGAGGAAGGTCAGAAATGGGGCTTCTTGATCTGGTTGCTTTTCGGGTATTGCGGTCTTATCTCCATTGCTTGCATGTCAATGGGAAAGGTTGGTGTTACTTCACTTCCTGGATATACATGTATGGTCAATGTGAGTTACAATAGGTATGCTACAGGAGCCAGAATAGATACTGGATTTGCTTAATCCGAGATAATTTTTGACTTAACATATCTTTTTCCCTTTCATTTAATAAGTAACTTATATCGATATCTAAAAGGGTTACCAGTAAATGTATGTATTGTGTAACAAGTATATGAATTATAATGACATGCAAAAATAGGCAATGGATACATGAGAGTAAACGGTTGTTCGCTTCAGTCGGGAGGAGCCAGCCTCTGGGTCGCCTAGGTTTAAAAGGGGGCAAGGGGCATCCAGGGATCCTGTTTTTGGTCTAGATTTTGTACAAAAAATCATATTAATGCTTTTTTTATAATTCAAACAAGAAACACCAAAAATGCTGTGGGTATTTTTGGACCTAGGCATGCGCAGTCCCTTGGTGTCCGCCCAAGCCCTCTTAGCCTGCCTAGGCACCCACCTAGGTGTTCAGCGAATCGCTTTTTGAAACAATGTAGTTAACAGACTCTTCTATGAGAAGTGAGAGCCCCCTTTTCTAGCATGAGATTCAGCTAAAGCATCCTCTAATTTCTAAAACATGATAGAATGGACTGTCCAGTGGTTGGCTAGTTTTTAGAATCTCTTCGAACGCATTTGTGAATTCTCTTGGCTACCGTTGTTGCACCAAATTATGCTTTATTGGATTGGTCAGCTGTGGGGCTCAAAATTTGGACCTCGTATTGCAGTTTTGAACCTCATAACGGCATAAGCATCTACCCAGATTCCTGAATACTTCCACCAACTGATGTTCAAATTCTTAGAATACTTCTTTTTCAAATTCTTAGAATACTTCTTTTTGAGGAATTTTTATTGAAATACTTGTGAAACCAATTAAAAGTGATTTTGCTTTTGCCTCGCTACAATCATAAATTGGCAATGGACCAACATTAAATTGCTCCCTGTACATTGATGACAATTGGCATGGGAGTCAAGCCTTCTCCAGTTCTGGTAATGCCATATGCAAGTTTCAAACTTGGTAATCACCATAGAAACCAATGTTGCTTCGTTCCCTCTAGTGTATTCCTTGTTCTTGGACGCTTACTTGAAATGAATGGTGAAGCCTCTCAGGTAGCATAGTTTTTCTGCAAACTTGATCTTTGATACGAAGGTCCAGTTGCATTAGGTTAGAATGTAACCCATTTAGCAATATAAACCGTTCTTTTTATTTTTATTTTTTCATTCTGAATGTTTGGGTGGGTTGTTTTCAATTTTCACTTACCCTTCTCTTTCCACACCTCACCTAGGAAATTTATTGAATTCCTCAGTTTGTTCATTCTTCTGTACTCTCTAGTGTAAGAAGATGGTATGAGAAGTAGGGAATGAAAATGATGGGAGATTCTAGAAAACGTTGGGATTCTTTTACTAGATTATGAAAGCATTTCAATATTTTAGGTGATTCTACACTGGTTTGAGCACTCTGTTCCAGCTCTTTGGCTGAACCACTTCCTGTGGGATCCAAAGTAAACCCATGTCTACCCTGTCGATAAATGCATATTATATACGGTAATATCTCATAACAAATGTATTGTTATATAGCCGAATTACCTACTCATTTATGTGGTATAGTATCTATAGATCTGTTGATTGCAGATAATAATCATATTCCCCCTTCTTTCAGTGGTTGAAAGGTTTTTATTCTTTGTTCCCTATCTGCTGATTGTGAACTTTGGCTTTGCAGTGGCTTACAAGGAGACATGCCCATTTACAACGAGCTCAACAAGGAATTCCAATTTCAGAATTTGGAGTGAGTAATTATTCTCTTTTGTTCTTTATTGCGTGAAGAAGTTATACCTTATGTTGTTTCTTTAGTCCCTTGCTTTTCTGCATTTATTGCTCTTATATTATGGATTGTGTTACATGCTCTAAGAAATGCAGATCATATCATCATAGTATGGCATTCTTTTATTGAGAATAGATTCTCAAGGTTGTAAATAATTGGGAAATTCCCTCGTATAAACCTATAAATGCACCGCTTTAATGGGTAACTAGCTAGCAAATTTTCGCACATATATTCTTAAGCTTCTTTAGGTGATTTCTTAAATTTTTTTTTTTTGAATGACTCTACGTTTATTTGAAAGTCATATTTAGGATGTGAAATGTATAACTAATGCAATAAAAAGAATTATAACCAATATGGAATGGCTTAGTTCTACCATTCCATTTTGGAAATGGTAATATGCCCCAGTCCTTGTTCATTTCTTTTGAAGATTTGAACAGAATGGCTTCTTTTTTTCTGGATCCATAAAAACACCTCCATTGGGTACCTAATAATGGTTCGAGCCCATGGCTTAACCTTCAGATGCTTTGTGTGGACCCAGATTACCTACAAAGATAGTCATATTTTCTGGAGTGTTCGTCGCTATGCCTGAAAATGGAAGTCTGATTCGCTGCTAATATCCCACTACTGTTTACATGCATCAAGATTTATCCTCTTTTGGTAATAAAAAGAAAATAATTTATCTTTTTTTCTTTGTTTTGTTTTTGCTCTTTTCATTTTCTAAAGTTTGCTATGTATCATTTTCTCGTCTTTCTGTCATTGATAAGTATAACCTATTGTGCTTCTACTCGATAGAATGTGGGAAGTACATTTGTGCATTGAGAACTTTCGTACTTGCTTATTCTGTAGTCATCATTTAGACTTATTTGGAGTGCATGTGTTGATCGGTATTTGTCACTTCGAAGGTCTGGAGACAAATAAGCCAAATACACAATCTCATCATCTATTATAAAGGAACTAAGCCAAATTTATTAAGGTATTGATTTTTTGTAGATTTATATCCAAATGAAATGTTGCTACATTCTGTACTGTCTTTCTATCGCAAACCCAGCAACCGTTAGTCCACAAGTCATGGAGTTAACTTCCACTGGATATATGGCTGGATTCCATTCTTTTCACCATATGTACTGAAAACCCCACTTTTTGGTTGTTTCAGATTTTCTTCTGCATGGGTAACAGCTTATACTCCTACAACATTGGGTTCTTCTTTATTCGGCTCAAGATTAGGAGATCAGATAGCAGTTATGTGAAGTGGAGGCAGTTTGGATCAATGTGCATTCGCTCTTTGTTTATTTAGTTATATATTTCATTTTTTTTGTTGATACTGATGCAGATAGAAATTTAGAAAGTACGCATAGATAAGGTGGACATGAGTTTTAGTAGGATTGGGGATATGGTTGATTTTAATACTGGGCAAAGGGATTTAGGACTCCTATTTTGCTGGATTTAGGAGATTTACTTAGAGATTAATAGGAGATTTAGATAGAGATGGATTTATGGGGAAGATAAAGATGGGGAAATTTTGGTGTGTGAGGATTTAGGAAAATAGGGAGGAGAGAGGAAATAGGGGGAGAGAGGAAATAGGGAGAGAGAGGTGACACGTGAGGTAAGAGAGAAGATAGGAGAAGTACGTATTTTTTTAGAGAGAGGCTTTATTTTATTTTGGGTTTTTTTTAGTTATTTATTTATTTTATTTGAAATGTATTTGAAGGGAAGAGGTCCCTCATTGAATAAAGTTGATTTTGTGATAAGATCTTTTGGGGTGGATTTCACTGCAAAATTTGTTTTTGTGGTGGATTCCCTTGCATACTTTGTTTTTGGGGTGGATTCCCTTGTATACTTTATTTTTGGGGTGGATTCCCTTGCAGACCTTGAGAGAGGGTATGTACTCTCAATGATTTTCTTTATTTTATTTTTATTGTTCCAGTTTTATTTTCTCCCTGCATCAGTTGGTATTAGAGCCCTAAGATCCCTGATCTAGTTATGGAGAGCTTCGATCAAAGATTTGATAGAATTAAAGAAGACTTAGTAAAAAAATGCCTACGAAATGTATTTCATAGATTACAATCTGAACAAGAGGAAGAAAAATATGAAGAGGTAGATCTCGATATAACAGATGAAGCCGATAACGCCAATGTGCAATAAGAAAATGGAGAGGTAGATCTCGATACAATAGACGACACTGATAACCCCAATGTGCATGAAATTTTGAAAACCAATTATGAAGAAAAAGATATGTGCAATGCAATTTTAGAAATTCAATCGAGTGAGTTTTTTTTGTACTTACCCAAAAAAAAAACCGAGTGAGTCTGAAGGAGAAATCAAGATTGAGCCCGAAATCAGTGAGTTATACTTCAACACGAAGCATTCAATGAATGGATTTAATGAAGAAATTGAAGAAAAAAGGTGCATGGTGGGACTGCATCACCAACTTTTGATAAGTGCCGTAAAAGATTTGAGTTCGATAAGCTCGAGGTCGAGCTTCTCCCAGCCCGGAGAGAATGATGCAGATAAAAATTTACAAAGTGCTCATAGATAAGGTGAGGCTTGTGTTTTAGTAGGATTGGAGATATTGCTGATTTTAATATTGGGCAAAGGATTTAGGTCTCCTATTTTGATGGATTTAGGAGATTTACCTAGAGATTTGTAAGAGATTTAGATAGAGATGGATTTATGTGGAAGATAAAGATCTGAAATTTTGGTGCGTGAGGATTTAGGAAAATAGGGAGGGAGAGAAATAGGGGGAGAGAAAAAATAGGGACAGAGGTGGTACGTGAGGTTAAGAGAGAGAAGATAGGGGACGTATATATTTTTTTTAGAGAGGCTTTATTTTATTTGGGTTTTTTTAGTTATTTATTTATTTTATTTGAAATGTATTTAAAGGGAAGAGGTCTCTCATTGTTCAATGATTAGAGAATGATTAGAGAGGGTTGAATAAAGTTGATCTTGTGAGAAGATCTTTTGGGGTGGATTCCCCTGCAGAATTTGTTTTTGGGGTGGATTCCCTTGCATATTTTGTTTTTGTGTGGATTCCTTTGAAGACCTTGAGAGAGGGTATGTTTTCTCAATGATTTTCTTTATTTTATTTTTATTGTTCCAGTTTTATTTTCTCCCTACATCAGATACTGTTAACATTTTATAAATGGGAAGAGTACTACTACAAAGGGGTACCCGAAGGGAATACAACCGCAAAGCAAAAGCTCACCGAGATAAGTGACAAGATCCCAAAAAAAGAAACACCCTCCTAATTTTTTATTTTGTTACCTCAATATTCCAATAGTCTATAATGTGGCCACATGCTAAGCCAAATTAACATTGTATAAATGGGAAGAGTATTACAAAGGGGTCCCCGAAGGGAATACAACCGCAAAGCAAAAGCTCACCGAGATAAGTGACAAGATCCCAAAAAAAGAAACACCCTCCTAATTTTTTATTTTGTTACTTCAATATTCCAATAGTCTATAATGTGGCCACATGCTAAGCCAAATTAGAAATCCTTTTTCTGCGAGCTTTTGGTTGTGGGTGGGCTTCCTTTCTCTAGGAAGTCACATAACTGGGTTTGGTTTGTAACGTAGCTGTTTCTGTTGGTATTGAACCATTGCTTGTTGCGCAAAGTAAAACAGGTTCGCCAAGACATAAGATAGCAAGAAGCGTGGTATCTGAGAGATTGCTGAAAACATGTAATTCTAGTTATAGCAATGGCACTTTTCATATTAATTGGATGCAATTTCTTCTGTTTCAGGTTATAGTGGATATGATAAGGGTGCCTGGTTGGGCATTTGAAGCTGCTGGCCAAGAAATGAGGGGGATGGGCCAAGACACTGCAACATACCATCCGGGCCTTTTCTTGACTCCAACCCAGGTTAGAATCATTTTCTACCTTGTGCACACCACTCACACAATGGGAGGGAGGTTTCTATTTCTTAGGAAGTTTGAAATTTCAAGTCTGGTTAGGTTTGAAATCCTGGTATCTGCGACTGACTGAAACTCCGCTATTTATTACTACTACTGGTATATACAGGTTTCTATTTCTTAGGCAGTTTGAAATTTCAAGTCATGTTAGGTTTTGACTCCTGGTATCTTCGACCAACTAAAAGTCATGCTATTTATTAGTACTATTGGTATATACATTCCTTTTTGGTATTCTTACTATTTGGTTAACTCTGACATTCAAAATCGGTATAGGGTATAGAAACTGATGTCACCTCTGGCAGAATGAACATTACAATCATTATAATTACTATTGCTACTGTCACTATTTATTATTGTTCATTGCCATAATGAGCAGCAATGGAAGTATTCTGTATTAAAATATGGTTTTTGATGTAGAGGGAGGCAGTGGAGGCACTCATACAGGAGCTTCCTAAATTCCGGCTGAAAGCTGTACCAATTGATTGCAGTGAATGCCCGATTTGCCTCGAGGAGTTTCGTGTTGGAAATGAGGTAAAATCCGTATCTGATGGCAATAAGAATCCATGTTAGAAGTAAATTTTGCTAGATATTGATAATCACTATTTATTAATTTAGGGAAAGAGTCATAAGTAGTTATTATATATGTCCCTACTCTTTTGAACGTGGAATGGCACTGCGAACTAGTTACATTAGATTCGTCTCTTTTGAAAATTTTAATTTGAGTTATATTATCTTTTATTGATTTTTATGCGGTATATTTCATTGATATGCAAAGATTGATGGCTTGTGTTACCTGGCACAAAGCAAAATGAAAGGATTTATTCTTTGCGCAGAATGACTTGTTGATTTATAATCTCTCTTTCAAATACTGGTATCGGTGTACATAATTCGGGACAATTTCCGTCTAATTTTGATTAAGTTCCTGCTTTGGTATGAATTTTGTGTGATCGATGAAATTTATTCCAATTTCCTTTTAAAAGCAACAAAATTTCATTCTGAAATTCATCTTAGGGATGTCATTGTATGACGCCAAATGTTGGATATGAAAACTCGCCCACTCCACAGAATTTACTGCACAGTGAGAACGCTTATAAGCATTTTGTTATCATGATCATGTAGATCTTCCAATATGTTTACTTTTATTCAAGATTCTAATAACTCTCTCTCTCTATCAGGTTCGGGGCCTCCCTTGTGCCCACAATTTCCACGTCGAATGCATTGATGAGTGGCTTAGGCTCAACGTAAAATGCCCTAGGTGCCGGTGCTCTGTGTTTCCAAACCTTGACTTGAGTGCACTTTCCAACCTACGATCAGTGGACTCAGTTCGAGCCACAGGGAGCTCGGCTCGTTATGTGCGCACCCAACCGGCGCCTGCCCACAGCAACCTCATAAGGTTGTGGAGCACCATGCGAGCTGAGAATGCCGTCCATAGTGAGCCTGGTGTGGGTCAGGGTCAGGTGGAGACTACAGAGAGGGTGCCTCCTAGTTCGGTAAGCACCATCACTGAGAACCCATCAACCGAGTGACTACAAAAGCCTCCATTCTCTCTCCGTAGCCCTATGAAATTTGGGCTGAGGCGATGTGGGCCTCTCTCTCCGTAGGAAATTTGGGCTGAAACGTTGGGTTCTCTTTCTCATGTGGAGCCAATGCCTTACTTTTGTCTTGTAGAAAAGCCAAAGCACCAAATGGGCTTTTTTTGGTTCCTTCTTATCTCAATGTCTAATTTTTGAGCCTTCGGTATTGGAAAGCTTGTGCCTTATTGTTTCTATCTCTCTCAAATACATGTTAAATTTGGAAGCAATACCCCATGTTAAATTTGGAAGCAATACCCCATCAGCCCATGAGCCCATGGGTTTATGGAGCAGTGTAAGTTCAACGGTTCAGATTGAATTTGGATCGATTCAATGATCACCATTGTATTTCGTAATTGAATTTTAATGATTTTTCAACAAATCTAAATTACTTGAAATTTAAAGCGTCTATTCTTCAAGAATATTTGAATCTAATAAAATTATCAAAAAAATAATTCGCATAAATTGAATTGATCACAATATTGGGTATTTTGATCAATTTATTTATATGAATTATTTTTTAAAATATTTTTATTAGGTACGTCTTGATAAGAAGAGTTTATGTTCCAAATTTCATGCAATTTTGATTTATATAAAAAATGTTAAACTTATATTATCGATATACAGTCTTGATCGTCAGATCGGTCTAGATTCAATTTGAGTCCAACGGTTTAGATTAAATCTATGTCGATATGAGGATCTCAGATGTTTGGTAGTGTTTGAATTTTAATTTTTTTTTACAAATTTAAATCACTTAAATTTTAGGAGTGTGTTTATAAAACATAGTTGAATTTTAGAAAAATATCAAAAAAATATTTTACATGAAATAAATTGATCAAAATACCCTCGAAAAGTTTTGGGGGTATTTTGGTTATTTTTTTTTTCATGAATAATTTTTTATATATATATATTTTTAGGTGCGCCTTGATGAGAAGAACACACGTCTAAAATTCAAGTGATTTGGATTTGTAGAAAAAAAATTAAAATTCAAACATAAAATAAGGTCGGGACTGTCAGATCGGTTTAGATTCAATTTGAACTGTTGGGTTCATATATTCATATGCCTTATAGGGTTTGTCTAGAGTTAACGTCCTCTCAAAATACTAAGGCTCAAGTTAGAAGGGGTGGTTGTGATGTGTGTATTTATCAAAACAATCATTACTTTTTTATTTAAAAATTATTTAAATAGGTAAGCTTTCTATTAAACAAGGGCAAATTTGAAATTGTCACAAAAATACAATGGCATTTTGGAAGTTAGTGTATTGGAACTTTATTTGTAGGGTGTCATTGTCCTTTAGTTAAAATTTCAACTTGTCATTTTATGGCGATGGCAAAAGTACCATTTGTTTTGTAGTAATATTTACAAAATTGCCCCACAAAAATAACTTTTTTAAAAAAATCGACTATAAAATTAATAAATCTACTTCTCACAACTCTCTATATCTTGAAGCTTAAGCTTTGTAATTAGAAAGGTTGTGAAGTTTAGATTATCCCATATATATATATATATATATATATATATATATAGTAGTAGGAAGAGTAGTAGTATACGACACGCTACTACTAGTAACGTAGTAACTAACGACCCGTAACCGTAACCTAACTTACGTACTTACGTCGTAC